TTCGGAGGATTTTCCGCGCTTTTTCGGCAAACTCGCTTGCCCATCCGCGTGCCGTGATTGATAGGAACGATTAATGGCGCGACGAGGCGCTTCCGATCGACGTGTTGGCATCTAGGCTTATTGGATGGAAAAAAGCGAATCAAAATGTGGATGAAAAAGAAATCCGCTCTGAAGCATTCGCGGTAGGCTTTGCTAATCGACGCCGGTTTAATGCCATGGAAAAATTATTAGCCTAGCTCGATGGCCTCTTTTTCACGGCATTTTCGAAAATTCCTTCACTTCTAAAAATCCGCCGCACTTTTGGCTTTCGCCCCGGATAGAATCGTCTTCGATTCGAATCGAAAAATTGGAACCTTCCCATTTGTGTGCCGAAAGAAAAAAATTATTTTCGTGGGTGGAGTTTGATAACATTTCTTGCATTTTTTTTCTTTTTTTTCGAGAGTGATGAGAGTATTCCGGGGCTCTTGACGGCAAATTTTGGCGGCGAGGGAGTAAATTTTTGTATTCCCCCGAGAGAGACGTAAGGACTCGCTTTGTGCCCGAAGAATGCCGATGTCCTGGAAGAGCTTGGCATTGGTTCCAGGTTTTTCTCGTAACTCGTCCCCCAGGAGACCGTACGGTTCTCCGAGACGCTGGAGGGAGCCCAGTAACGTCGAGATATTTTCGTTTTTTCGATAAAGCCGGATTTTTCGGACAAAAGGAAGACGACGCGGAACGGACGATAACCGTTTCCTTTCCTCCCCCGGTGAGGCGAAGCGTTCGATTCGGGGCCGAGGCCAAATGTCATCCATCTCGTCTGCGAGATGGATATTGGGTGTCATGTTTGGTGCACATAACGATGCGACCGGGAATTGATCTGAACTCTCGATTTAACGTCCCGTTGCGTCCGATCCGATTGGAAATCGTTTAATCCCTCTAAGCTTTCGTTTCAAGTTTCGGCTAATCCGCCAGATCGACTGCTGCAGAAATCGAGAGGAATCGACCGACCTCCCTTATCCCACGGGATGGATCTTACCCTCGTGAGGTCTCCTTCCACCCCCTCCTCCTCCTGGATCGATCTCAACAAGTGATATTAATTCCCTCCCCCAAGGAATAAAACGTCTTCCGCCTGACATCTCGTTTTAAAAATTAAATTTTCTCGAATTATCGAAGGAAATTGGATCTCGGTTTAGTGGATCGAAGGAGGATCGATCCTTCCCAGGATTGATCTTCACCATCTCGGAACGTAACGTCGCCCTAAACCCCCCGGAAGGGCGCCGCTTTCTTCCGGAACCCATCGGAACGGGATAACGAAGAATCCCTCGGGAATCCTCGCCGCATCGTGCAGCATCCCCGTCGTCTTCGAGATCCCGAGGAAGTACGGCCGTCTCATGGGCTCCGATCGGGAAATCCTTGCCATCGGAGCTACGTACGAAAGTGGCCGGAAGTACGGATTGGATAGCCCCTAAAGTAAAAGACCCCGTGGTGGTGGTTAAGAGGATTGCACCCGGGTGTGCACTCGAGCTGCCACGAATGGGAATCGATGAATTTCCCAAGGATGCCGCCTCGTTTCCGGTACACGCTGGAGCGAATCGCTTGCGGCCAAAATCCGGAATCCGCGACATTTGTCGAATTCCAGAAATCAGCGACCCCCTGCCTCCTCCCAGGAAATTCGTCAAACCCTCAAGTAAAACGAAAACCCCGAAAGAAATTCAGGAGATCCGGAATTGGTTTCCGAGTTAGCAGATCCATTCCTTTTTCTTTTTTCCCTGAAAATTCATATTTTTCTTCCGGGGCAAATAATCTTGCACTTCATCGTGGTATGTGGAGCTTGTTTAGGGAAAGTTACGTTTGCAATTTCCGGGGGTGTTTTTTTTTGCCCCGCCGAAGGGGGAGCCTGGAAAGAAGGCGGGCTCCTGAAGAAGTTTACGGCAATCCCGGTGGGTGGTGGGTGGTGGGTGGGCGCCCTCGAATGCGATCGTAACCTCTCAGTGACGAGCGCCTTGTTCGCCTGTAAGATATTCATAAACCTCCGAACAAAGGCGCCGCGTGCGGAATCGTTAAGCCAGCTCGTCGTTATTGCGCCCAGCAGTTCGAAGGTACTAAGGGGCCATGGGAGGTTTTGTTACACCCCGACTCGCTAAGGGTTAAAAGAGCGTGTTTATATGGGTTTGGCAGGAGACACTGTGCGTTTTAGCCGACCGTGCGCCCCTCACAAAGGGTTATTCGGCTCAACTGAGCGAAACGGTGCACTGGCTAATAGGTCTTATGAGGTCCCACCGCCCACTTTTTCCCCGCCCATTGAAATGCTAATGGTGCTCCGTGGAGCGGGAATTATTGTTTTATAATAATTCACAAAAACTTCTGCGCCGTGCATATCCCTCCTCGATGCGGGAAAAACATGTTGAAAGGAAAAGAAAAAATATTTCATGAATGAAAATTCCAGCGGATATTTTTTTCATTCTTGGCAAAGGGTCGCAAGTGAATTCTGTTTGGGAAGTTCGATCGTTTTTGGAGGTTATGGTGGGTTGATCAATTGTTTGGGGGAAGTTTCATGGTATGGGTTGCGGGATCCCTCGGTCTCCTCCTAGGGACTCGAGGAATCCTTCAGATTTTTCTACCGAAGTCGGCGAAAATCGTAAATATCAGAATTCGATGAAGGGGTTACAGGCGCGTCCCGAATCCCGTCTTCGAATGCGATTTCGGTCGGTCGAGTAAACAGGAAGCTATCCAGACTCCGAGGTGGACTCGGGCCGATCCTTGCAAGACTTTTCCGCGTAAGCGGATCGAACGACATCGTCGAGGACAAGGAGCTCTCCCAAATCGGCACAAGACATCGATTCGCCGAGAACGTCGTCTTTTAGCAAAAAAGTCCCCCTCGAGGCGAGCTCTCGACCTGCCATTCCTGTCGCGCTTAGCGCGACTTCGCGGTAATGGAGCGTCTCCTTTTGCGGGAGAGAAAGGGAGGACGACAGAGATAGAGATGTCTCCGCGGTCGCGGGAGATGACCATAAGTGGTGAAAAAGTCACGTAATGTGGATCACCTTTGGTGACATCCCGGAGAAACGTCTGATTTCTCGCTTGGAATCTTTTTCCCACCCTGAGAAAGAAATATTGAACCAAAGAAATATTTAATTAATTAAAAGAATTCGACTCAAATAAATTGAAATAAATTGGATGCAACGTTTCCTTGGAATTGTGACAATTTATCAGAGTCAGATAATTATTCCTCGAATTAGCAAAACGTTTCCTTGGTTCAATGGATATTTTATCTCGGGGTAAAGGGAGAAAGAAGGACGTAGTTTGCAGAAGAGAGAAATTGTACCACGGGGCGTTACGCATTTTTGTGGCTATTTTTATGGCTACGATTAAGCTCGGTACCCCTGCGGACGTATTTTGAATTTGAACTCGGAATTCATTTTTGTGGCCCATATTCATTTAATTGAACCAGCTTAATAGGTGTAATTTCTGGTAATTGTAACGCCGATATTCGGTTTTAGTCGGCATGGCTATAATTATGCCGTAATTGGAAGTTATTCGGTCGCGGAAAATGTCGAGTCCGTAATTTCGAGGACAAAGAACTCCGTTGTCTTTGGATGCAAATGTAATCGCACTAATTGATACCGGAGTTCTTTACCTCCCGAGTTCGCTTTTCCGTTCGCCGTCCGCTGCGTTTACGCCCAGACCGACGTTTAACGATGCCAATTAAAGTTCGGTAGCAAACAAAGCTTTTCTTTGCCCCGAAGACTTTCCCTGTCGAGCTCCATCCCCTTGATGAGCTTCCCGAACGTGGACTTGCACAAAACCGACCTTCTTCGGGTATTAAACGGAAGAAAAAGGCCTTTGACACGAGATCCGGTCCCTCGTTAAGGTACGACCGTAAAGCAGCTCTTCTAGGACTCTTATCCAGCAATTATACTCGTCTTCGCAACAGTACTCGAGGAACTGCAACAAAGACATTTTCATAATGCACTTTTCTTAACTCATGCCCAAGCAGGCATGTTGACTTTTCTATTATGAGCTGAAGAATGCCCAAGTACGAGCAATGGGAATAAAAGGTACCGATATTAAGTACTCGAAGAGGGATCGTGATTGTCAGGAGAACGATGAATAGCTCAGCCAAAATAAATTGTCAATGGATCACCAATTGACAGATCGAGTGATTTAATTGTCGCGCTATCGAGCCTGCTTTTGAGCGGTTCGGTTCTTCGCCAGCTTGAAATTAATTGATCTTGAATTAATTACATTTAATGGGTCGTTAAAAGGACGTGCAATATTTATTTTTATATTAATATAGATTGCTGTACTTTTCACGAGATTGGTCTTTCGGTATATGACATAAGTTTGATTACTGTCCTCACCCAGACATGATGAATTGTTTCCACGATTAAGATTAATAAATGATCAGCTCGTTCGGTGACGGCAATTCGTGTAACGTAGGTTAGATGGTTCTTTCGTCACAATTCTGTGCTAACATGGTACTGTTTTTATATTTTTCATGTCTTCCCTGGAACGGCAACGGTGGTTCCGAAATTCATCTACTGGTGCTGCGGTGATGGGTAATGGTGACGGTAACGCTAACGCACAATGGTCTTTTAATACATTAAACAATTATTATTTCCTCTACACTGGTTGAAAACGCACATCTCATGCATGCCTCTTCTTTTAAGATAATTTTTACAATGCTTACCAAATTAACTTTTATTGCCTGCGCTCCGGTTTATTAATACAATTTTCATAACCTAATCGGCTCCGACTTTCCCCGACCTTTTTTCCTGTGACAAATTCCCGTACCTTGCCTGTCCCCTCTCGTGGTCTCCCATCTAATTAACAACATTGGCGGTCAACGAAATAATCGCTCCTTCCACCTCGGCCGCAACATATCGCGGGCGCACTAAATCGTCCCCATTAATACGCCGCCATATTGGCGGGGTGCGGAATCATTAATTTCCGAAATCCCGGGAATTGATCGCGTCCTGGTCCTATGGTGCCTGTGTGTAACGAGCCAGCCCTGTTATCAGGTACCCTGAAGACCTTCCAGAGGGCCGCCTGCGACGAGGAGGCGATGACGCTGAAGTGTCCTCCCGGGACCGCCATTTCCGTCACCTTGGCCCACTACGGAAACGCGAATCCCTCCATCTTCAGAAAGTGCATCACTTCGGGTACCAACGCCCTCGACAAGCAGGGAAACGACACCTGTCGATTGACCGACGCCTTGCAGGTACGTCCCACAAAGATCCGGAAAGGAAACCGAGAAAAAACGGCCTTGGTCTTGCATTCGCTCGTTGCGTGAAAGCGGCACCTCTCCTCGAGAGCGCCGCCATTTTGAAATGCCGACGCCTCGACTCGCTGCGGGAATTATTTAAAGAATTCTTTAATATAAAGGAAAGGAGCTCTAGTACCGCGACAAATTAATTTCCGTCTCCTTCCTTACGATGCGAACGTGGATTGCATAGGGCGGGGATGGCTTTGGGACTTTACTGGGAATTATTTCGGAAATTTATATATTGGGCTCCTCGAATTCGGAGCAGGGCCGCGCTCTGTAACAAGTTTTCGGGGCACCTTCTGCGGCCGTCCGGATTCGGCTCACGTTCGAAGCCTGTTATTTTTACGCTCGACGAAATCCCGAGGCCTCGATGGAAGAAGTATTTCCTGCGCTTTGACAAGGTATTGAATTCGGCTCGGAGCCATTCGCAATACCTCCATGGCTTCCGTTTTTCGGGCGTTCCGACATGTCGCGCGCAGACGTAACGGGGGAGGAGAAATTAGTATAAATTAAACGGGTAGAATTTAGAGCGATTCTCTTCTGCATTTTTACGACTCGTTAGGTGGTGAGTGAAACTCGTCCTGGAACCTGCACTTTCAATTGCGTTTTATTCCAATTTTCCGAAAGGCGAGTCTCAAACGTCCGATCTTTTTTATCCGGACGAAACGCGCGCGCAGTCAAAAAGGGGAAATTCGGCGAAAAGTCAATTCGCAATAGACTGGTGCAAATGTCGGTCCATACCCCGGAAGAGACATTACAGGTTCCAGGTGTACATTGCCGCTCAATTGTCAATTTTGTGGCTTGACCATCAAAGCAGAAGCTGCAGGTAGAGTCTATTCGTTTCCTATTCACGGGCGGTCTGGAAATTAATTCGCGATTTTAAATTTTAAAAAGCGATGTTAAATTTCTTTCGGGACAGAAAGGACGAAAGATGAGCCTAGGAAAGAGATTTTCATTTCTCTAACGTCCTTGTAGATTATTCTGATTTCCTTCGTTCTTTTCCCCTTTTTTAACGAGACTGGCTCCTTCGTCGAATAATGGCAGTCCTTCCGGGTGGTTCTCATTATCCAGGATCCAAGGATTGACGAGTCGTTAGCTCTTGTAATTATTTCCTGGTTCGCGACTTGGACCTTCACGGGCGATATCCGTTATCTTTTAAATTGGACGTCCTGTGAGTGTTCGTTTTTTAGAACGTCATTTTTGCGGACGTTAAATTATATTTTAATGAAATCGTTACGTCAATGGACGCGTGAATACTTTTTCTGGCATGCAGGTATTGTAGGTGATCCTTTCTACGGTGGTAATTACTTTGACGATGGATCTCTCACGGTACCGAGCCAATTGTAATTGTCGAGAGTGTCCCCCGTAGGTTTTTCTTTTCAAGGCGGAAGAAAGTCCTTCCTCGGAAGAAAGTCGAGTGATTGCCGGGCAAACTCATTTCGCCAGCAGTGTCCTGCGGAGAAGGACTGCATCCTGTCGTTCCAGGATCGCCCAGTATTCGGGTATGTCGCTATCGGGATTTCCTACGTCCTCCGGTGTCGTAAAAAATGACCATGCTGCTCCATTGCCAGAATTTCTCCCTTTGATCCAGCCGAAAAAATCGGAACTAGGTTTACTCTGATTTTCCACAGACCCATGGAAATTACCATCCACACAGCTGCCAATTGCATTAAAATTAATATGCTCAGAACCTGCTCAAAAAGATCTATGAAATTTTCCTGAATTATCAAAGATCTCAGAAGATGGACACGCTGAAATTATGTAGTTTCATCCTGGAAGGGTGCTTTTTATATCGCTCACGTCATTTTCCTCAGGCGTGTAGATTCTTCAAAGTCGCTTTTCGTAACAAAAATCGAACGACTCTCGGCTCCTCGAATTTTATAACCCGAATGGCCTCTTCTTCATCCTGAAGAAAGAGGTCATTAACGCTGCAAGAGGGCACTCTTTAAAGCTTGACAGTCAGGGAGGCAGATTATGTTCCCTCGTGAGGGAAAAAACGGTCAGGAGGTCCTGGAAACCTCGAAGGGGATCCTCGGGGCTTCTTTGGGACAAAGTCCCGGCCTGGATGCTGCGGAGCGTCCATCCTTCGGGACTCCTCGCCGATAATAAATCGGCGAAGGGCCACAATGGAAACCTCGAAGGCAAGGTGGTCGTATCGTGGTTCGTGTATCGATTTCATATTTCACGTTTGGTCGCACGAGAAAGAGCTATTGTGCCGGACTCTCTCTTAGTCGTGGCCGGAAGCTAAGATGGAGTAGGTCACCCTTTCATTTCGCCCCCTCGATTTTCCCCTTTTCTCCCCTAATCTGCGAGCAACGCAGCGGGAAATATTTTTGCTTCGATGTATCGGAGTATCCAAGCGCGTTTCTTCCGATATTAGAAAATCCAGCGTCTAATCCTACATGAATTTTAATTTTATTTCATGGTGTGCTCATCTCATCTGGCGAACTAATAATGCAATGATCCCTAAAAAAAAGAGTTCCGGAATGAAAACGTTAGTTTCGAAGGATTTCCACCTCGTGTGAAATAAAATTGTGTTTTATATATTTATTCGGTATTATATTGATTTCCTACGATTCCTCTTCTTCGGGGAGTTCGAAATCTCGGATTATTTACCACTCCTGGGAGTCACCCCTTTTTCTTCGATATGTCTTCGATTTAACGAGGGCGTCGAAAGTTTCCTGCAAACTTCCTCTCCTGGGGTACATAAAGAGAGTAGGTGGTTATAAATATGTGTTTGCTTATACACTACTTCATGGTCTCATTTGTCACGTACTTCCGGAAGCTCCCCCGTGAAACGCCATCCTCGGCATACTAAATCTCCCGGCACGTCGTCCGCCACCTCTTTCGGAACTTTCCTTCCACCCTCTCTTCGAGGTGCCGCCCCGAAGTTGAGTTTAGCGAGTGGTAACGATTTCCGCCGATTCCAGGCCACTCGAAATTATGCGAACCCGATAACCTGGGCGGCCGAAAAGTCTCTTCCGATGCGATATCGGAGCGCAGCTCCCGAGAGACCGGAAGATCGACTTCGATAAATCGCCCCGAGGATACCCCTTCCGGTCCCTTCGCACCCCGGGGGTTGATTTCGTCGGAAAAGAGCACTCGTACGTGCCGGCTCTCGTTTAAATCCCGCATTCGTTTTCACCCTTCCGTTCGCCTTCCGCCGCAGGAAAAAACCGATCGCACGTCCGCTTCCGGCGGTGCGGCTGATAGATCGATTCCGAGTAATTAAGTTAAGAGGATCCGATCTCCTTTCCACGGCTGTTGGGAAAAGGTTGCCTCCTTTTTCCGCGACCAGAATGGCTGTTCTCCGTCGGCTGATTTTACTTCCTGGGCTGCTTCTCCCTTTCCGCAATTTCTTTAATGACTCTTTACACCCTTTCTTAATTTCAGAACTTGTCAAATTGAGCTCTTCTTCTCTTTACTTGGTCTCCTAGGAAAAGGGGTGAAATTTCTTCCATTGGTAAGTTTTTATCACGAGGGTACAGGATGTGTTCGGCTTTAATCTCGTTTTGGAGATGTAAGGACGTCATTCGAGCCTGGGGATTGTTAAGACCTTATTTCTCGCCGATGATGACTTTGAACTTAAGGTAGGATTTATTCATAGCTTCGATACATTCTTTTAACAGTCATTATTTATGATTGGGTGTCTCCTGGCGTCGCCGTCTTTACGACGTCAAGCTTTATGAGATGCAGTAACTGGACCGCGATCGTAATGCATCTCGGCGCTCTGCATCGACTTCTGCAAACTGCATCTGCGACGTCAAATTTATTGTTGATTTTTAAATACGGTAATGAAATCTTTATCAGATCAGGGATTTCGAGAATACGGTGCTGGTCCTTTGTCCGATCTCCTAAAGCGTCCTTTGCTCGAAGGATATCCTGACATAGCACCTACACGAGCTTCCTTTACGACCTGCGAGGACTTCTCTCGGTCTTCCAGTTCTCTTCTATAGGATCCCGGAAATTGCGCCTCCTGCAGCCAGTCTCCTCCGCCGGTGATCTCAATTTTTTAAAGTGCTCCCGAACTCACCTCAGATACTTTATCCCAGTTATCCAATAAGGATATCTTCCCTGGAAGTGACGTGGAAATTTCCTTCCCGTTCGTAGAGGCCTCCGCTCCATGGACGCTGCCCTATCGAGCCTGAATACTTCCGACATTGCGATAGGACTTTATTGCAAAAACACTAAAAAATGTAAAGAGTAAATGAAATGAAATTAACAGATATACAAGAATTATAGGCGAGCCATGTTATCACCCCGCGATTTACCGATTCATGTCGAGGATCCCTCCCCGGGTTTTTGTTTAATCATTAAAAATAATTGAAAGCGATCTCGAAGGCTTCTCATCTTCGTCCTTGCTCAAACATTTACACAAGCCCTTTCGTATGACCTCGTCACCCTTAAGGGTACATAAACTAAAGGAACGACCCGCCCGTTAAGTCTGCATTACGGCAAGTACATTTACCGAGATGGTACTTTTTTTTCCCCTCCCATTTTTTAAATTTCTAATTTCCTCATTATTTCCAATTACATTCCCAGGCTTTTTTTTTTTTGGAAAAACTGAACGGCCTCTGTAAAAACGAGGTATTCACGTCATTTCCGAGGGAAAGTTCGGTCGACTCGGAAATTCAACCACCGGCCACGAGGAATTCAGTCCGTCGTGATTCCCCGGCAAGAATTCCCGGAATGTTTGCTAGCCGTATTGCCGTGAATTTTCCAACGATATTGGCTCGTTAGATTTTCGTCGGTACGTCGGAAAACGTCATCGAGCAAACGAGTCCGAACATATCGTGCACTTTCCACTTGCGCCGTAAAAAGCTCACCGCAAACTTTCCGAAGAAGCATCGAGGTCGCGGAATGCCGAGGAATTCGAAGAGATCTTCGTTTTGCTTTCTTCTTCGGGCTTGCAGCCATTTGTTGAAAATAAACACCGAGCTATTTCCAGCCTGGAGGTCCTCCGAGAATATTTCCTTCCGCGTTTGTCGTCCGTCGTCCCTCGACCATTTGCATATCACATTCCGTAAAGACGCGAAATTCCGTTTGAATTTTATGTCAACCCCTAACTGCAAATCCGCGGATAATCCAACATCTCATTAGTATGATTTTCCTAAAAGTTTCAGATTTTCAGAATTTTTTCTTACCAAATGAAATATTAAAAATAGGTTTGATAAGAATCAGTGTATTTTTTATTCCTGGAGTTAGCGAGTCGGAGGAGGAATAATCGAAGGACCCAAGGGAAAGGTGTCGGGTTGGTGCATATCCAGGACACCCCGGAGTGGCTCGTCCTCCTGGCAACCCTTGCCTTTCCGCATCCCTTGGTTCGCCACCCCAGGGCTTTCCCCGCGATCGGCTCCTTTCTCGTGGGTCCTTCCACTTGGAAAACACGGCGAAGCGAGCGGGTGGTCTGAATGACGTGGTAGTATGCACTGTTGCAGGCCGTCGTCGAAGTGTGCCAGAAGAAACGGCAGTGCAAGTTCAACACCAACCCCCGGACCTTTAAGGTCGACCCGTGCCCAGGACTGTCGAAGTACGCCGAGGTGGCTTATCAGTGCCGTCCGTGTAAGTACATTCATTATTATACCTAAATTTCCCCAACGCCATGTTAAAATACGTCATTAAAATTCTTTATTAAAATACGTTATTAAAATTCCTTATTAAAATACGTTATTAAATCTTCATATACAGTGGCCCTTTCATTTCACCACTGACGACGGTAAAGCACTATCGATCTTCTGCACCACGTATGCAATTTTTATACGGAGAGAAATTCTACTTAGTAAACGTTCATCTTCCATTTTATCTGGAATTTCATTCGAGTTTCATCTTAGGGTCGGATATTCTTAGTGGCGTGATAAGGGGCCGAAGAGGGGGAGGAAAGTCCGGCAAACAAACGAGAGGTGGGCAACGTGTCAGGTGAAATTTGCATGGGGCTTGCAACAGCCGCCGGGTACGGCGGTGAATGACTTTTTCACGCGGCCGTGGAGCGAGGAATTGCGGAAAACCGGCGAAAAGCCGTTGTCGCGAGTGCGCCCGGTTTTCCTCCCTTTTTTCCATCCCCGAAACGCACTTGGCGATTCCGCCGGCAGTGGGGAACGGTGAATAAACGACTGACCGCATAACAGTGCTAATTGAAAACCCAGAATAACGCCGTTTTGACCCTGTCGATACGTGAGGGGCATTTCGATACCCGACCGGCCATATTTACGGGGGTAGATACAATTACGAATTTTTTTTTTCTCATGCCTGTAGATCCAATTACAATTTTTTTTCTCTCTTCATATTCAAACTTCCCGCCACGAAAGGGAGGATTAAATTATCAGAGGTCCAACGGAGGCGAGTAAGCGAAACTAATTTTGCGGAGAGGTTCCTTTAGTCGGGAGGTGAAATGACGGATGACTTTTTGCTCCCCGGAACCGCATAGAAGACGCAGAGAAAATCGTCGGTGAAAAGCCGCCCTCGCGGTTTTTCCCACTTTCCGCGCTCTTGCCGATTCCGCTGCGGCCGCTGGCTGGCGGTGAATAAACGAGTGACGATATAACGTTGCTAATTGAAAACCCAACGGCGGCGTTTCTCCGCGCGGTCGTTCTTGTGGCCCGGAACGTTTTTGCACGTGTGCTGCCCGTCCGCAATGCAATTAAATAATGTAAACGGCGAGGCATTAATTGGCCACGCATGCTTCCAGCTGCCGCAATCGCGAAATTGCATGCGGATTCGGATCGAACTTTCGTTTCGATTGTTTGGATGCTCGGCCTTAATCGAGGCACCTCCGCAGAATTCAGATGCACCTGCGAATATAAATATTTGCGGAAACCGCGCGGTCTATTCTTCATGGAGAGAAATTACCATTGCTTTAAAACGTCGTTTCCCTAACCGAGACCAAACAAGAACTTCATCGGACATTCATTAAGCTGTTTCTATTAATTCCTTTGATTTGTATGAATTTATTTTCTCGCATTTTCTGGATGAATTTTCGATACGGAGTGAAATTTCTGCAGAATTTCGGAAATCCCATTGCACCGGCTTTTCTCGTGGAAATCGAAACAGGAAAACAGGGATTCTTTCCGCTCGCAGGCTGTCGGAAAATGCACTTGCAGGTGCAGGGCGTCATGCATACGTATTAGCCGCGCCACACCTCGTGGGAGTTATCCTCGCATAACAGCTGATCATTTAATTTCGCATACAGTGAGCATCGGCCCGGAAAATGCGAGCGGCGCAGCTGCAATTTTTCCGTCGGTCTGTATTTAGGTGTTTACGAGAGAGAGGGAAAAAATAAGCGAGACACCTGAAAGCAGTAATTCACATCCTCGCGACGAGATAGACATTCCGAATAATTTATTTCTCACTTTTTCGGTGTTTTTATACAATCGAAAAGTAACGCGTGAAATCTGAGGGAATGCAAATGTGGCGGCGAAATTTCCCGGTGACGTATAGGTCGGTACTGTTGGTCATACACCCTCGTTACTCACTATTTATACGTTAGACTTGCCGCACATGCGAGTCTACGGGTGACAAATGAAATTTGCGGACCGTCGGCTGCTTTTGGCACCTAACCTCACCTGTAGTGTGCGCAATTGTCACTCCAAACTGTTACACGTGGACATCCAGTGGTCGCGGCCAGATATACCCCATCTTGTTTAATCACTGATCCAAATTACCGGAAACTGTATCGGATGTCCTGCGCGCGTCCGTGCCGGATGTAAGCAGACCGATCTGGCTGGGAAAATTCGGCGACACGTTTCCTACGGACACATCGAGGTTCGTTAATTAAATTTATTCACTTCGTCGGTGGAAACGTAGATAACAAAATTTTGTATTAATCCAGTCGATCCATTCGAGTGGTTTTTGGGAAAGTCGCAAGAATTGTCACGTCGGAATTTCTTTCGAGGGTCGACCCGACGTCTCGTCTCAGAATTTTTCTCCCCTTTTTCCCCCGGCCTCGCTATACATTTGCGGTTCAATTTCCTTTTTTCCCACCCCCTACGTGAACAGCTCGCACTTCCGTCACTTGCATGTGCACCGGGTTCGGACAAACAACTTCCAGATTTATGGTCCTGGCCGTTCCCGAGTCCTGTATAAATCCCATGGCCCCCAAAGGCAGTAAAGTTGAGAAGCAGCCTCCCCGTAAATCTCTTGGTTCGATAAACAAGGACATACTACTTTGTCTCGACCTAAAGGGCGGTTTTTACGCGCGTTGTCTCTTTACACGATTTGTGATAACCTATCCGGGGATCGCGAGTATCGGGCATCACCGTTCATCTAAATTTCCGGATCCTTTTGAAAAATGATAAAAATCACTGCGTATCTAAATTTACCTCCAGGTGCATTTGGTAATTAATTTCTCAGTTACTTCTTAAGAATTAAAAAATTCACTTCTTTGGAAGTGCATAAAAATTATCGCGATATTATGTACCGGGTCAAAGACGCGGTCTTGACGGAATTGCACCACCGAAAGGCGAAGGGGTGTATTCTTAATAGGGAACTAAGAGCATAACGTGTTAATGAAAACGCCACGTAATAGTTTTATAATGCGAGCAGCAGTTAGACGACCCAAATTGCGTCGTTACGAGTAAAGTGGAAATTTCAGCCCTGTCTGACCAAGCTCTAAGTGCCGGTTGCTGCATCCAACTGCATGTTTCACCGCCACCTTTTGTGCCGAAACGAGCATTGCGTTATCGTCGGCGTTTCAGGAAAATGCACAATTGAACGAACTCTTGTCTCCGAATCGACTTAATAAGTGTCCTTATTTGCCGGTGCTCGCGGAATTAAATCAGGCAATTAGCCTGCCGGCAAATAGAATTTCAATTGCGACATGATCCGCGTATCTGACTGGTTTATCGGGAATAATAGTTTGGGGACAACTCCATTAAGCGGGAACTTGGGAACTCGCGATTCGCCAGGAATTAAGCTATTAGCGATGCGACGTAGCACCTCCAGGAATTTCCCGAGTTGCAAAACATCGACACGCGAAGCTTCACTGTCGGCGACAGAAGGGAACATCCTTCGTCGACCTCGTGCAAGAAATCTTCGACCTCGTGCTCCATTATCGACTACATCGACCCTGGAAAAAACCTAGGCGGGACAATTTTATTATAATTACTAATCTTAATTTGAGCAAAATTTACGGGGACATCCTTCGTAGGCCCCAGGACGTCTTTGGCAATTTTTCCCCTTACCAGTTAATTATGCTTCTGTAGAAAAATCTGCCGAAGATAATTTTGGTTCATTAAAGGCATTTTTAATTTCAGACGAGTTTAGGAGCAAGGTAGCCTGCGAGAACGACAATATCAACCTGGTGTGCAACCCCTTGTACAGAGTGGCCATTTACAGTGCAGCTTATGGCAGGACAAAGTTCGAATCTGTGCAGTGCCCTCAACCCCGAGGGGTTGAAGAAGAGAGTAAGTAGACGGAACTACTTCAGGTTCCCATTTTTATCTCCCGGTGTACCTCGGTGGAACATTTATTTTCAATTTTTTATCCTTCATTCCCCGGCTGTAACTCTTCGTGACGACCCCGTGCCATTAACCTGGTTTAGTTCTGCCCTAATTTACGGAATTGATCAAATTCATCCGAGTGAACAGTAGGATGCAAGGAGGATAGGAGAAGCCGGGTTGGGAAGGATACGAAGAGGAGAGAGAATGGAAAATAAATTATTTTGGAAGTACAAATACATCTGAGTTACCGCGGACTTTTCCACTTCCAGTTCGCTTCTTGTTTGGATCTTGAAACACGGAGGACGCAGTTTGCGATACGATTTTCACTCCGACGAAAACTGAAATGCCCAGGTTCTCCTCGGAATACTTTTCGAGGTGGTTGGTCGCATCTTTGGATTTTCTATTTCGTCTCGCGACTGCAGCTTCCGAATTTCTCGCCCCAGAAGTGAGAACTTCAACCGATAAGAGGGTTCCGTGGAGATGGATTCCGAGTTTAAAGAGATTTATTTACGATCCCCCAGAGCTGCGATCCACAAAAGTTGAGGCTCTTCCATCGGCCTCGAGTGTAGTACCTGTCGATAAGAGGGAGATCAAAGAGAAGTTCCAAAATTAATCGAAGAAATCCGCGGTGCCATTTCTCGATAGAGTTTGGATAGCGAGGGTTACCAAAAAGGGGGGAAAAAAAATTCAAAGGCGGTCATGTTAACGATAATCACTCTTCGGGATGCATGGATTTAGGTATCTTCGCATTTAAATCGGACACAATTGGTACCTACTCGATGTCCTCTCGAAATTGTCGAGACTCTCCGAAGTGTCCCTCTATTCCGGAGAGAACCACTCTCCAGGAGGGTGAATCTCGGTCCCCGGTTCCTCGAGGAATAAATCTCCTTCTTACCAGGGAGGGGGTCATTGTCCGGCGGGCTGGTGAGTCCGGTCGGAAGGGTTAAACTACACCCTTAACGGGTGCTTTACGATATAGGGCGATTCTTCGCTCTGCTGGGCACTCCTGGAACTCCGTCACGACGAATTGGACGCCTCGAGTATCTCTGAACATAATGGTGGTGCTCGTTTTCGATCTTCGTTTCGCAGTCTCAAAAAGGCAATTCCATGTTGCATGCACGTCCGATTTTGATTACATGCAAACGCTGAGTGGTACCTCTATATGCCACGAAAACAAAGACCTATGTCTACGGTACAAAGGAATTAATTTCTCCCGTTCAGAAGATTAAGTTTCCGGAAAATATAAAAATAATTTTAAATCATCGATCGGTAATTAATTCGTTGCAACGATTCACAGCCTGCCTGGCGAGCCATGCAACGGAGACGATGATGCAAAAGTGCCATGGTCAGCGAAAGTGCACAGTGGTGGCGAACGGCACCACCTTCCAAAACACTTGTGGACCCCACAGCAAGGCGTATCTCAAGGTGGTTTACACCTGCGGTAAGTTAGCATCTTTTCCTACCTTTTTGCTCCAGGGCACGTGTCCCCGTTCCCAGGTCGTTTGGGAGAGACAAAGTTCGTTTGCACCTCTTCAGGGTGAAGTTCGTCGACGAGGGTGTCCGGGCTAGATAGGTCACTGGTTTGTAGGTAATGGGTCTGCCAGGAATAATGGGCAGGGATCTCCTAATGAAACGCGGGATCTCTATTAGTTCGATTCTCCCGTGCTGACTGGGTTTGCGAGCTGATTGCCGGCAGGCTTAAACTTCCCCTGATGACCAGGATGATGGAAATTACCATTTCCCAGTCAGGTCAGTCAGGAGGTCTCCGAAGTTCGGGGTTGAGAAACCAGTACAGCGAAACTTCTACAGGCCTTAGGTCTCGATGAAATTCCAGCTTTGATTTTCAGCTTAGGGAAACGATCGACCATGGTTTTTCGACCGGAAGGCGAAGCTTTGAAAATTCTGAAAATAGAAGCGGAGGGTTCCGGCGACTTCCCCGTGGGTTCGGACCCTGAAGACCTTCCCCTGGACGAAGGGGGACGGGAACGAATACCATTTCCGGGCTGAAAACGGCGCCGCAAAGCTGCGGCCCATGGACCCCATTAAGCTCCCGATAATGGAGTACTGACCCATGGCAATGATCCGATGAACTCGAAGGGTGTAATTGTGACCGCAGGATTTCCATCTATCCCGATATCCAGCAAATTCGGCAGTTTCCACTTTCCACTCGGAAAAAGCCAAAGCTCTGGAATATATCTACCCTCGATCTTAATCAAAGCCTCGAAGAAGCAAGCTTTTCCCCGGATCTCGGTAATTACCAAAGCCAGACAGTTGTCCGCGAATCCCCGGCAGTGCGAAAAAATCACACAGTTAGGGGTTGCACTTTGTTATTCTCATTTTCCTACCCCCTCCAATTATGCTAAATACTTAGTAAATAACACGCAAAGAGCGCGCGGCATGTCGCGCTTCGTTACCTCGGAATGGGAGGAAAACAAGGTACGAGGTTTCCCTCTCTCTTTGCGGTAACGAAGCTCGGAGGGGTACGTCGTTTCTTCCGATTCTCGCATATTTTATTTCCCCCGACAGCATTAAGCGACTTAATCAAATCCCGGCACTTTTTAATCAAAATTCAAGCACCTCGGTGGAACTGGGATTTAAAGGGCTGGAAATTGATTCGTAATTTTTCTCTCCACTATTTGTGAAAATTAAACAACCCCCAGAGTGGGTATTAATATAATCAGTATAAAATTAAAAAAAATAAGTTTTAGTAACTCTAGGACGGGAAAGTGTTAGAGATGGAACTTTGCATCGGGAACATCGGGCCAAGGCGTCTCTTGGTCGATCGAGCCCCGTTTTCGGCTGGTTCCATTTTGATGAAAAACCAACCCCGTCGTTCCCCATTTGCGAGGGTGTCTTGGAGTCGGCCTGTTGGAGATATTCCCGTATATCGAGCCCCGCAGCCGGCCAATATCCGGCAGAATTCTCGCCAGGAAAGCCGTTCGTCCCGGCCCGACCTAGTTCGGCATCTCGCCAAGATTGTTTGCGTTTTCTAACGAGATTCCCTCAATTCGGCAGACCCGGGGGGGCGATGTTCGTTTCCCTCTACGTGCCGGAACCCTTCAAGAAGATGTTCACCAAGACGGATTCGCGGTTACCTAGGAGTTCGTAGTTCGCAGTTTCCCGGTTTGACGAGGGGAGTAGCCGAGGACAGAAAGACCCGGGCGACGAGCTGCGAGAACGAAAACCGCGAAAAAGTTCCGGCAGCTTTCGGCCCCCCGGCTGAAACTTTACGAATATGCCCGGAAACCGAGTGCACGGCTCTTTGCCGGAAGTTAATAATAATAGAAGCCCTCCCTCTTATTCCGGAAGGGGACCGACGGCGGTCGAACTCGACGCCTCGAGGCTCCCCCGAAAACTCCGACCTGAGCTTCGCTCTCTGGAATAATACGCGGTTAAAATTATATATCACGTATGGACAACTAAAAAAAAAAAAAAACAATCAACAAAGGTAATTAGGATGTTCCTGGGAGCTTTATGAATTTAATGTTATTTTTTTCTGACTGATATTTCCGAGGGGAACCCGCGGCTTCTCATAACCTCGATTACCCGCGCGAGCTGCAGCTGTCTCCGTGGAAACTCATAACTACGATGCACCCTCCCTCTCGAAATGTATGCACTCATTGCCCGAGAGGAATGTCGAGTCGGAGCCAACATAAGCACGAGCCAAAAGTTCCCACCTACCCAATGCCAGTCATGATAACGACACCCGCCGAGAGTTCATTCAGACAGCACCGGCTTGGAACGAGGAAAAGAGAAGCTCATCCCGACCTGGTGGGACTTTTTACGGCCAAATTTCGTCCGAGGTGTCCAAAAGTCAGAGTGTACTCTTTATGATTGTACTTCTGCTCGGAATGGGAAGGCTAATCACACGTTCCCCCGCAATCGCGTTTTTGGAACGGACTCCGTCGAGCCGTAATTTTCGTTTTTTCCTCCTGTCAAAAGTGCGAAGATGTAGAAGAGTAAAAGATGGTCCATGGATCGGAATCTGATTTCCTGGATTCCCGAGTTTTGAAGCCGAGCGACCACCAAATCCTTCCCTGGAAACCCATTCATCCCCTCGTCCAGCATCCAGTCGCGACTCGAGATGACTTAATCCCATTTCCGATTACTAGCCACTGATCGCTTTGGGGTAACTTCTCAACAAGTGGTCGAACTCGATCGACCTTTTAGCCTCCCTCGACTGCCCCCTCGTTTCTGAGTTTCGCTCCAGGAGAAAGCAGGCACCCTCTACCTGAGGGTGCGCCAAGTCCCCTCGAATCTGGAAAGAAACTGCTGATTAAATAAATTCCCAGGGAAAAATTTAAATCCAGTCCTTCCTCGACCGAAAGAAGTACGCTCTTCGAATTTCCCTCAATTTGGAGAGTCGGGCGATCGCGACGTGAATTTCGAAATAAGGGTGGAACTCGGGGGAGGCCCCGAAAGACTTAATCCTCTTTCCGATTGCGAACGGCAGCGTTCAACTTCGGAATAACTTCTCAACAAGTGGTCGAACTTCATCGGCTCTTCAGCCACCCCCGCGGTGCGTTTCGCTGCCGGTTTCCCTCCCGGAAGTTCCGCAATTACGGGCCGCGACGTCAGCCCTTGCGGATCCGCCCTTTCGCCGATTAATTCTCCATTATTTGTTGGCTGATTTTAATTAATCCGACGGTCGAAGAAAACTGCGACGATTGCGAGACGGGGCGGTTCGGGGGATGCGAAACTTTGGAATAAATAAAGCTGTTTTTAACGACCAATCGTTGCTCCACCCTCGTCAAAAGAACTTTCTTATCTGCCTTTCTGTTCCTCTCGTTGCATCCCTCCTGCGCTCCTTGGACCACTCCACCCCCTCCCATTGTTCTAGCGTTTCTTCCCAACTTCCTTCCGCTTTGTTAAACACGACGGACGGAAACGCGTAGAATAAATTCGCCCCCTCGCGAAGATGGGTACTTTTTCCTCTTCCTTCGCTTTGACAACGTGCAATTACACGGCCGAGAGACTCGAGAGGGGTGGAAACGCGTTTAAGAGTGTTTGAAATTAAAATTAACTTTCCTTGGTATGGATTAATTAAACCGGGCGATGTGTACGAGATCGGGAATACATGGAGACCTGTCTGATGGATCGAAATTATTGAAACCTTCCCCTTGCATCGACGTTTCAAAATGGAGTCAACGGCACCCCTTGACCCCCCCGTAATAAAAGCGAGGTACATGGGGCGGTTAAAGGGGTGGAGAACACCCCTTTGTGTCTCGACGCCCTGGAACCATTCAGGGGTGTTCCCGGAAACTGTAACACGGTTTCATGTTAATCCGGTATTACAGCCGAGGACGTAATCTCTGAAATTACCCAGCAGCGAGATAAAAATGAAGAAGAATTAAGAAACCTTCGTTTCAAGCTTTAATCCCGACTGTGCCGACCTTAGGAGGGGTGGAACGCCCGTTTCGGTGGGGTTAACCAAACCTCTTCTAATTTATTTACCCTTTTCATTTCACCCTCGGTCAAATGCGTTTTGCGGGAGCCAATTAAAAGTCAGGGCACGTCCGGGGTGCAAATTGCCGGTGGCGCGGTGAAAAAGTGAAGAGGGGAGATTGACGCATCTGAAGAGTGACGGATTGATGGCTTGACATTGTTTTTTCGGGGTTTATTTGAAAATTCTACCGCCCAGCTACGTTGTAACGCTGTAACTACCGACTGACGTAGTTAAAACAACGTACCATGGAGAGCCGTCGACGAGGTTGGCCGAAATGTCCGCGTCACCCGCGTGCGGACGGAAAAGGGGGGACGAAGAAACGTGGGAAGGGTGGATTATGTATATACCGGGCGCGGGACAGCAATTTAATAACTGGATGGAATATTTAAATATGCCCCCGGGTGGACGGCTGATTATACAGGGAAAGGGAGGCCAGGCATAAAGCCACGGTATTACCGAAACATACATCTCGCCTGGGCATTTCTCTCGTTTCGTGGCCACTCTTTACGGCAAATGCGTCCGTTCTGGCCTGGAATATGTAAAATTCAAAATTCAAAATTCACATTACTCGCAGGTGTAGGCGAGTTCACGTGTCCCTTCTGTGCTCGCGAATGTAAATACGCTCCTTCTGGGGATCTTCCATTCGATCCTTTTCCTCCTTTCTTATCATCCTAAGGGAGAAAAAAGTGCGTAGAAGGTATTCGGCAAAACTTTTTAGGCTACTTTTATGCAGATCAGGAAATTGAAACGGATCTTTAAGGGAGAGATCCTTTTCTGGACCTCTGGGAGGTGTCCCACATTTTTGCTACATTTTTATCCCGGATTTTTCGGTACTCGGTACTTCATTTCGCCCCGTGTCAATATGAAGGGTTTTAATTGCGCATCGATATTTACTGTTGATGCCGACGGTATTGATTCTCGAAACTTCCGATTGAATTTGTTTCAAAACTCGGACTTGTAGAAAGTCAAAGGACTGACTGACGGCTTTTGATTAT